TCGAATCACTAATCCCAGTGCACCGAGTGACTACACCCCCAGGCCACCCTTCTAGACCCAACTAAAATATCGGATAGCGTCAGATGTTGGAATAACCGCGCCCTAGTGGTTGACAGTCTCTTTCGGGAGAGGCCTAGTGGGATTCCTAGCGCGAGTTGCTAGTGCCATCCGCCCCAGAAGGCCTGGTCTTACAGAAATAAAATTTGACTATCGGGTGGGTGGGTGTAAACTTCGAAAAAGTAATAAGAAATCGATAAAATCGGTCAGCTACGAAAATAGCTCAGGAGTGGAGCAATGCATTGCGACTATTGATCTACGTCTCTGCCTCTTTTTCGTCTGGACTCTCGCGGCTGTCAACCGCGCACGCAACTACATACGTGGGAACGCCCCTTTTTGCCCTCAGACATGAGCTGTGCTTTCAAAACCGACACAGGCTCGGAAACCAAAACACTAAGCAACTCACGGGTACTGCCTGGATACTGCCGAAAGCTCCGATGACTCCTTCAGTTTGGAACTGAGCATGAATTGTCGGAAATCGAAAGGATTCGCACTCATATCCATGCCATTCCAGGCTAATACGTCCAAACAGTAAAATGTCTTCGATGCAGTCATTATACAATCCAATATCGTATACGCACCTGAGAAGAAGGAACATTCAGGTTGGTGGATGAGAAACAAATGGAAAAAATAAACAGCAAATATACGAAAGCGCATTTCGGCACGGAGGGGGGCATTTTGCACGTTAGCTGTTTCCCGTCGTCGTGTTCATTAATACAAAAGTTGACAAGTATTCTTAACAAGACTTGACAAGCTTTTCAACAAACTTTGGTATCACTTCATGGCTTCACAAGATTTCACAAGTCTCTACTTGACTCGACACGACAGTGGGAAGCAGCGAAAGTGCAAAATGCCCCTCCCCTTCCCAACTGTGCCGATACGATATAATAGGAATAGCCCACTTGACTTCCCAGATCCTCCTGGTAATCGAGATCGGAATTGTGTAATGGTTTTACCGGCTTTGTTATATGCAGTTGTGGCACCCTAAGGTATCATCAGGATCAGCTACCATAACAAAAAAAGCACGAGTTCACGGAAAAGCGTCGCATACCTTTGCTGCCACTACTAGTACCCGTTTACCAACTGGCGACGGCACCATCATCCATTCGGATGATAGCTGTTCCGGAATGTCCACGAGCCATTCACTGAGCATCAGCTCATCCGCATACCTGAAAACTGTCTACTTCAGGCCTAGTTCGGCTCGGTGGGGGCACCGAATGGTATTCAGCTGAGCTTGTGCAGGCCACCTTGTGAAGACCTGTAAAATTCCTGAGCACCGTTGATCACTCGCAATGTCGCAGCTTTA